ATATATATTCCATATTTAAAAGTCCCCATAAATTTTAACAGTTTCAACACTGTTCAAAAACCCAAAGTCCAACTCTGTTCTGAGACCCAAGGCACTTCCTTAACTGTAACTGAAGAGTTATTAATAACTGGCAGATGCTGGGAGGGAGATATACAGTCTTCTTTAAGAGACTGGCACGTGCTATGTCAACCACTTTTCAGTTGGAGCCCACACACCCAAGAGTATATGAGCAGCACAAATTGTAATCAATGTCTTTTAAACTATTTTTTTTTAAAAGAGGACACAATGTCTGTTTGATATAAATGGGGAGTAGGACCTGGGAGAACTTGGAAAAGGAGAGTAAATATAATCAAAATATATTGTTTGAAATTCCCAAAGAACTAAACAATATATTTAAAAAACAGATACTTCCCTTGTAAAACAGTACAGAATATGTGTTCCCATTATAAAATGGAGGAATGGGGGCACAATGAGGAAATACTGGATCAAAAGACCAAGCCCAGGTGGGAAAATCACCTAATAATATAGCTCCATTTCCAGTGTTTGGAAGGAGTACTCCAATTACCTCACCCTTCATCTCTGTTCAGCATGGAAGAAGCCAGAGTGATCTGCATCAGGATAAAATGTTAGTCCAAAAAAAAAAAAAAAAAAAAAAAAAACTGCAAAGGCTGGCTGGATGGCTCAGCTGGTAAAGCTCTAGCTTCACAAGACTAACAACCAGAACTTGATCCTTGGAATCTAAAAATGGTGGAAGGAGAGAACCAACTCAGCAGTTGTCCTCTGAAATCCATATGCACACTGTGATATGGGTGTCCACCCCCCTACACACACAACACATCATATGCAAAAATACATACACAATAATAATAGATAATAAATTTTTGAAAAAAATCAAGAACTATTTTAGAGACAAAAATTTTAATTTTATTAGTATGTACTTATGGTTAGGCACAAAAATATTGTAAATAAATATATCAATATATTTTAATAGTTCCTTCTACATTGTGATTTTATGGGTGATTTCTTTTTGTTAGTTTTAAATCTCCACACAGTTGTTTTACAGTAAAAGCCAAAACAAGTCTTTCTGAAGATACTCAGTTTTGGAATCTAGACCATGGAAATTCACCAAATGAATTTTTCCTCACAGGCATTTAGACTTCTTGATACACTATTTTCACACTGCTACATGCTTCTTCCAAACAAACATCAGCAACAACAAACTTCCTCAGTCAACTTTTTAAAAGATCAGTGTTATTTTAATTTGGGACTCCTGTATAGAAAATCAGGCAGAAACTTCTGATTAAAAAAAATCATAGAAATTAAATGTTATTCCAGGTCAGTAATTTTAGTAACATTCTAGTATTTTGTTACTTAGGAAATTCTTCTATATATAATAAGTTGGTTACATGTCCTTCTCATTGCTGTCTTCATTTCTTTGTTCCTGAATGTATAAATAACTGGATTTAGAAATGGAGTGAAAACTGCGTCAAAAAAGGCAAGCACTTTGTCTAGGTGTGATGCTGGATATGGCCATGTATAAACAAAAATACAAGGACCAAAAAATAGAATCACCACCATGATATGAGTTGACAATGTAGAAAGGGCCTTAGATGAACCACTTGAAGAATGTTTGCATACTGTGATGACAATAAAAATGTAAGAGATGACCAATATGAAGAATGAGCCTAGAGAAATAAATCCACTGTTGATTGTAACCATGAACTCCAGACTATAGGTGTCTATGCAGGCAAGTTTGATGAACCTAGGAAGATCACAGTAAAAGCTGTCCAATACATTAGGACCACAAAATGGCAATTTTACAGCAAAAACCAACTGAACTGCTGAGTGGGTCAGACCAATTACCCAGGCAGAAATCAGAAGCAAATAACACATTTTTTGATTCATAATAGTAAAGTAATGAAGAGGCTTGCATATAGCAATATATCTGTCAAAGGCCATGGCTATGAGAAGAACCATCTCCACAGCACCAATGACATGGATGAAGAAGATCTGAACAATGCAACCTCTAAGAGAGATGACTTTGCGACTTCTGAAAAGATCATAAATCATCTTGGGTGAAATGACAGAAGAAACACCAAGGTCAATGAAGGAGAGATTGGCCAACAGAAAGTACATGGGAGAGTGTAAGTGAGGGTCAGAAGCCACTGTGAACACAATAAGGAAGTTCCCCATCATGCTTGCCACATAAAACATGGAGGAGATCACCAGGAGGAGAAGTTGAATTGTCCAAGAGTTGGTGAGTCCAACGAACACAAACTCGGACACAACTGAGTGATTTGCTCCATCCATTGATTTCCCAGCTAGAGTGCCTCTAATGTTAAAGAAAATTAAGAGGAAATTTATATAGAGTAACATTAATACTCTAGATTATAGTGACTTATTTTTCACAAATATTTCTCCAATGCCTTGTTGGGTCCAATAATCACTATATATTTTATATGAGACACCTGAACCACTTCTACCTGCAATCTCATCACCAGGGTCTCTAGAAATCATTCTATGTGTATAATTAAGAGAATGGACATATAAACAGACACACACAGAAAAAAAAAAACATGGCAGGAATCTATTATAGGATCGGAGGGTCAGGAAGGGTGGAACACGCAGATAAAATGAAATAAGAACACAACCTCATTTTCCAGAACTCCAGTTCTGCTTTTAAATTGTTAACAGAGCAACTATTCAGCCATTACTGTTTCTGTCCTCTTAACCTCAGGTCTTCTCAGGTACATTAATATGTCCCCTGGAATTATTTTTCATGCTACCACCCCCAATACTCAACAAATCACACACAACCCACAGGATAAGAATTAGCATAAGAGAACTTGGTATAAACATTGATGAAAGATGTGATAATATTAAGTCAAGGGGAGAACAGGTATTGATGATGCAGGATATTTGCATGGACATTCAGAATTTTAAAGCAGCCAGGGTGTGGCCCATATCACAGATGGAGGAAGGGAATAGAAGTCTCTCATTGTGAAGTTAAAAGATTAATGAAGACAATTTGACATACAGTAGTTCCTCTTAAATTCAGGAGATAACCGCTTCCAAGCAATCATGAAATTGAAATTGAAAAAAGACTATGGGCACTAGAAAATGTCATGTACATTTTTTATATACACACATACCTAGATCAAAAAGTAATCTATAAAATGGGCCAAGTAAGAAGCAATGAGTAATAGTAAAATAAAGGTATAACAACGTACTGTAACAAAATTGACAGCATCACTGCTCATGTGCTTTGGGCCCCTAATCAGTAAAATAAATAATACTTTAGCACAAGTAGGAAGGCAACATGACAGTGCTTTAACATCTGGGACATCTATGTGGCTGCTAGGCGAGCAGCACTTTCATTAAGGGTTTACTGATCAAAGAAAGGTTTACATTGCACATGAAAGCGAGCACAATGGCATGAGAGCCCATAATGCCACTCATGATGGCACAATCAGTAGCCAGAAATATTCAAGGGATTTTTCTTTTAATAATTTCAGGCTATTTGACTCTGGGAAACTGAAACAGAAGAGAGAAAAAAAATATTCCTGGGGGATTTCTGTTGTTGGTTAGATTCTTCATTCTCTTAAGTTTGCACAACTTGGTTACAGCTGTTGGAGCTGTAAACCTTTTTCACTGGGATGAAGAACTGCACACCAGTATCATTGCTGGCTTATTTCCATTGCCCTTCTCTTTTCCCTTCATCGCCCTTAGTGTTTCCTGTTTTATTCCTCTTATCTCTTCCTTTCAACTCTTGAGGTATCTGGGATCTGTTGAAAGGTTCTCTGGCCCTCTGCCCAGGCTACTACATGAATCTCTGTTTATTATACCTAACCTAAAGAACATCTTAGCTTAGCAACATAGTGCAGTGTTAAGGATTGTATTTATCCTTGTGATTGTATGGCTAAATGGGAGCTATGATTTATTGCTAATGCCCAGCATCAGAAGACAATATATGCCACATATCACTAGAATAATAAAAAAAAATCAAACTTCAGAGCGCATCTCCTACTTAATGTGTGTCACTTTCACACCATCACAAAGTTAAAAATCTTAAGTCAAACTACAATAAATTGAAGGCTATCTATAATTATGAACAGAAACCTAAGTTTTATAGTCCATATATGGGTTTGGATTCAATGCACTAGATAAGTAAAAAAGGGAATGAAATAAGCCAAATTCTAGTTCTTCTTAGCCCAAAAAGTAACTGATACTTTCATAGAGTTATTAATTAAAATTTTAAAAAATCTACCTGCTCAGCTGATCTGCTTATACATCAACTGTGCTGTATCCTCACATGGTTGTTTTGTATTGAATAGCATGACATAGAAAATTTCCAATCAATACTCATCCTTTAAAGGAAAACCCAAATTCTATTTCCTCCATGAAGATTTTCATCGTCAATGCATTTCATAGAATCACTAGTAACAACATGAAAGAAACCTAATGGGAGTTTTGTCAAGTCATATGAATCATATAAAGGTGAAAAGATTTCTTGTAAGCTTTGGAAAACAAGTAAGAATTTAGTAAAGTGGCAAGAGAGGAGGGTCTTCTGACCATATAACTATGCCCTTATTTAGACCAAGTCCTCTGTTACTAACCATGATTCTATACTCATTTCACCTTAATAAATTCTCTTCTCCCAGACATAGTGTAAGTTTGTGGAATATAAAGGATATTTCTAGTGCATGTCATGTTTATTAATATTCACAGTGAAATTCCTTAATTATATAATTAATAACATTTCTCTGGCACAAAGCCTTGTCTTTCATCCAATAATCTTACAGTTTCTGTTTTTCCATAGCATGTACAATGGAAGTTTCCAAATTCAAGCATAGTATTAACATATTCTCCAAACACTCCTAAAAGACAAGTGTCTGATAATCTAACCATAAATGTCTGTCTGTAAAGAAAACCTCACCTCAAGGCTTGTCCACGGCTTCATCTCATGAAGTCTTAGAGGATAGCAAGTAACATCTAAAAACAGAGAGAAAGGAAGAGGTCCAAAAGCAAACTTATACCATTTCTATCTTCCAAACTTATAAATAATAGTAATCTCACATAAACATCTTACAGCCAAAAAATGAACAGATTTCTGCTACTTTGTTTCTAAAATAGTTATTAATGGACTTTTAGAGTTGGAAAATGATACATTTGTAGGGTACATCATATTTATACGCTACTTTCACATGTCCAATCCTTACCACTGTCTTTTTGGTAGATATATATGATGAATAGTGTATTATTTTCATTTATAGATGAAGAGTTTCATGGTGAAAGAAATTAGCAACTTTTCCAAGGTATAGATGTAGTTAGTTCAAAACCAAAATAGCAGGACTTTTGTTTCTAAGCACAGTACTGATTGACTTTATTATAAACTATGAACAAAATTATGTTTAAAAACTGAAACAATCATTGTTGTTATGTGTTTAGACAGGAATTTCATTTCTTCAAAAGAACATGCCATCCTATTACATAAATATTTAACAACCATATAATTAAAACCACATTTGATAGCTAATAGTGACAAAACCAAGACTTAATCTTATGTGCTATTATTGTGAATTAAGAGGCAGAGAGCAAGCAGTTAAAACGGAAAAGAACCAAAGCACACCACGTGAAAGATTCAACAAAGTCCGTTCAAAGAAAGAAAGTGTAATACTTGATAGACAAGAAAGAGCATAACTTTTGCACATTGGAAGTCTGCTAAAATTTATATCATAAGGAACGCCTACTTGAAGCATAGCACATAAAGGACAAAAGAAAATTAGAAGGAGCAAAAATACATTTTATTTTTCATCATCATTACAATACTACCATTGCTATGAATTTGACTTATTATCTGTCTCTAAAATACAATTTCTATATACTGCAATATGAGATATAAGAGAGAATGACATGTTTAAGAAGTAAGGAGTAGGTCTTACTTTAATATGCTTCTTAGTAATTGAAAAGAAAAATGTCTAAGACCATAGATTTAGTGCTGACAGGTAATTGTTGCCATAAAAGAAAGCAGCTAGGATCAAACAGTGGGGAGAGAATAAAGATGACAGGTAAATAAAGAATGCTGACAGCATATGGCAAGCTAAATGAGAAATAATTCACTGTAGGAAGAGAAACCGTGAAGGAAGCTAGGAAAAAAAGAAGGTCACATGCCTCATGAAGATAATTTGAAGAGCTGCACAAACCTGTAAAATTAAGAGAAAACTTTCCAAGCAGAGATGAAAATTCTGTTGAAGGTGAAATTTATAAATTGAGACTTAACAGTGTGCTCTGAAATGTTTTTCTTACAGGATTCAGATATGTTCAGGTGTCCAGTACTTAGAATTTCAGAGTACCACCTTTCTTGCACAATGAGCAGCATTAAGTAGCACAGAAGAAAGAGGTTCCTAGGTGCTAGAGATTCCAATATAGTTATACACTAGGCAAAAGAATTGGTTAGGTAGTTCTCTGGTTATACCCTCTTTTTGAAATTTGTTATCCTTACCAAATTTCACAATGTTATAAATGTCCTGTGACCCAGTCTGATACATGGTTTTCCTGATGGAACCTTGAATATTTCCAGGCACTGGTAAAGATATCTAGGTTATTATTCAAAACACCTAAGGAAACTGTGCCCAACTCTGAGTCAAACTATTTACCCCCGACATACACTGTATACCTTGACCCCCTCACTACAAACATACCTAGGCAGACTGTTCTTTTCTGTCACTGTACCATGAGGATACCCTTCAGCATTCTTAAGTTCCAGTAATGAAAGCTTAGGCAAATCTTCCTGATATTCACTGCTTCTTTCTTTGGAATCCTGTTTGGCCCCATCTCAGGACAGTTTGTAGAACTTGTGGAAAACTATTGCTTGGAGGGTGACTCTGGCCATAGGCTCATCAAAACAGAACCACTAAGATATAGGAGAATAACTATCAGTGTGTGATAACTACCTTTCTCCCATGTACTGATTCTCAAATCAGGGTTATTAAATAACCAACCTCACCATATTTCACTTGCCTTTCTCCACCAAACTACACTGATATTTCCTATGTGAATTCTGTTCCTGCCATTATATCTCAGAAAATTGAGAAGGGGAACTTTTCTGGTGGCACAACCCCCAAACCCCTTGTCCCTCTATACTACCAAGACTTCTCTAGTCTACTCAAGGACCTCAGATGGCAACATAGTAACAGAGTTAGAAAATGGTCCACAAATTTCCCTCCCACAGAAGAACATCGCCCAGTCCCCACTTATCCTCAGACAGAAACAATATATAGCATGGTAGAGAAATAATTAATTACCTACAG